CTCGGAGTCTACCCTCCTGCTGTCGGCTTCCATGCACTCAGCCTCCCGCCTCAGCGTCTCGATGTAGCCCATGAACAGCGGCTCCAGGTTGCTCTCGCAGCACTTGCGGTTCTGGTAGAACTGCCACTTGGTCTCCAGCAGCTTGTTCTGCTGCTCCAGGAAGCGCACCTGCCATTGCGGGTGGGAAGAGGGTCAGGGGGCTCCTGTGGCCTCAGAGCCAGCCCGGGATGTGGAAGGGGCATTGTTTTCATTGAACTCCCCAGCCTGGAGCTCGGGCAGCAGGACACAAGGTGCCTTCCCGGTTTCCTGCTGTTGGTCTGGGCCTAATTTCCCAGCTTGGGGATGGGGACAAGAGTCTGGGAATGGCCAGCGCCTGCCCTCAGGTGAGTTACGACCTGATGAGTCCAGGCGGCAGGTGGCAGGTGGAGGTCTCAGCCCTCTCACTCTGAAGCCAGGTGAGGCAGGAGTCCGCGCAGGCAGTGCACCCGTATTCACACCGCAGATGGAGTGTCTGAGGGGTGACTATCAGGGAGACGAGGTCCCATCCAGGGGAGCTCGGCTTCTAGGTGCTCCCCTTCTTCATCTGGCACCAGTGCCCCCTCAGAGGAGCGCAGTCCCCACCCAGGGTCTGTGCAAGCCTGTCTGAGTTCAGCAGCAGGGGGGTGTTCCTCCCGGACCTCCTGAATATAGCCTGTGCCCCGGGCAGCGTGGCCACACTTTTCCTCCACAAGTTCTGCCTCTCTCAACTGTCAGCTGAGTCTGTCTGGTTCTTTTCTGCATCTGTGTGTGTGTGTTCTTCTACCACCAGATGAGGTTCTCAGACAGGCAGAAATATCTCTGTCTCTGAGCTCTCCCCTTGTTGTGCATCACTGGTTTTACTCCTGGGTGGGGGTTCAGGAATGGTGTGATCCAGGACACCCACCTTGTCGATGAAGGCCGCGAACTTGCTGTTGAGGCACTTAATCTGCTCCTTCTCCTCATGCTTCACGCACTGGGCGCTGGGGTCGATCTCCAGGTTGAGGGGCGCCAGGAGGCTCTCGTTGACGGACACGGTGGTGATGCAGGGGGGGCTGGGCCCGCACACACCGCCGGAGCGGTAGCCGAAGCTGCGTCCACAGGAGCCAGCGCGGAAGCCCTCCACAAC